GGGGGGGGGGCTGGACACGCATGACATTGCCCTCTACGTAGACGACCTTCTCTTTGTCTCGCCTGACCTCAACGAAATCCAGCGGATCAAGGGCGACCTCAAAAGCGAGTACGGCATCATGGATCTCGGTGAAGCCAGGTCCAGATAGATAGATAGATGAGTCGCGTTTCTCAAGTCATATGGAGCTATAGAAGCCCGTGTAGACTGCATGTACTACTCAGGGTGGGGGAAGCAAGGGAAGGCCGGAATAGAAAGAAAACCTCCTCATTGAGGCAGGGAAATCAGGTTGGAAAGAATGAGGGGTATAGGTGAGAGGGATAGGATAGGATGGGATAAAGAGGGTGAGGGAGAGGGGGATGTAGAGAGAGGGATGGTGGAGGGCAGATTCAACTAGACGGGTCATCTGAGGGCGGGGAGTTGAGCGAGTTGAAACGGCCCGAGTTGGCGAGGAAGCGGAGTGTTGGCTTTGTTGCGCACGGGTCGTCAAGCAGGCAGGCAAGGGAAGGTGATTGATTCGGAGGGGGGCAAGGAGGGCACGAGGGGTGGCATAGAGCGGGCAGTGGAGGAAGAAGTGTTCCCGGGTTTCTGTTTCTGGCTCACTGCTGCAAGCGCACATGAGCCAAGTTCATCTTGGGCATCCAGGTGCATCGCTGCTTGAATGGCGGAATCTTGCTCTCCCAGCGCTCTCCCAGCACGCGTACCTGAGGACGTCCTACTCCGCCTTGGCTTTGTTGACGGTTGAACCGCCTCAACGCCAATGCAGCCAAACTTGCAGCTTGCTGTCGCTCCGGAGGACCACCAGCCCACCCCAGCTTTCCGCTCCCGCTACCTTCAAACCGTGGATTCCCGCGTGTACGCCATGCTTGGGACTCGCCCCGACCTCTGCTACGCTGTGGGTGTTCCGGGCCGCCACGCCGCGGGACCCGACAACTTGTACTGGGCTGCCGTCATCCGCGTCCTGGTGTACATCAAGGGAACACTTGACTTCGGGCTCGAGTTCCAGCGTGACGACTCGCCACTTGCCGGTTTTGAGGCGTACTCGGACTCGGACTGGGGTGCGTGCCCGTCGACCTCGCGCTCGCGCTCGACCATG